TCTCACCAGGCGCTTCACTTCCCCATGTCTATTACCGTTTCATAGTTCACTTATTACAAGACTCTACACTACCCAATATTCCCACATGAAACAAACTTTGATAATTCATCTCTGACACGACAGTTCCTTTGCTACCAATTATAGGGTATATCCAATCACAGAGAGGTTGTAAAAGATACAAGTATGACTTAGCATAGATTACATATGGTATGGACTAAAATGCTAATGCTCTTTGCTAGAATTCTCTCAGGAAAAAGAAGAATGGAATCCATGTTATCATACTTTTTATAATAAACTGAATTTTTATAGCATGTTCTAGACTTTCTAATTCATTAACTCGTTGATCCTTATAACAAAGCCCTAAGGTCATAATGTAAAGTAAAATCAGGACTCCAGAAGATAAGAATCACAATTCATTTCTGGTTCTAACAATTAATGTTGGTCTTCACAAGTGGACATATTCTTACTCATAACTAGATGAGTGTCAGACTTAGAGGAAATATTTCAGATTAAGCAAATAAGGCTCAGGGTTATGCTTAATAATACTTATATACATACACACATTCTTCAGTGTATAGCAATATGTGAGGAGGACACAGGTGCAAGAAGAATAGAATATTTGTGATCTCCAAGAGCCTGTGCTTTAGTTGAGGTAAAGCCTTATAAATGTATAAACAGATCACTGTTGCACATCATGGCCCAGCAAAGTCTAATTCCCTGAAATTGTGACTATTAAAGAAACATAAACTTGGTCTGGAGGAGTTAGAAAATATTTCATGAAAGGTTTCGTGCCTCAGCCAGATGAATAACCTAAATAGTAAGTTAACTATAGACATGGTTGATGAGATATTATAGAAATGTGCAGATACCCAAAACAAAAGCAATAGATGATAGATAGATATTGATATCATTTGTACAGGGAAGAGAGGAAGAATAATTCCAGTAGAAAAGGCTTTGGATGCCACTTTTAGGAACATGGAAATACATATATAAGTGATTGGAAATCACTCAAATTTACGAATAGGAGGATGATTTTGTCATTGTAGCTTTTTAATATTAAATATTCATATCAATTCATATCACAGTCAAAACTTTCCAGTTCATGACTATTTGATCCTTGTACCAATGGTCTAAAATTAAGCTAAAATTTACTTGAGTCTAGTTTATACTTATTTGATGTATTTATTTTCAAAGTAACTGATATGTTCACAAAGTCAACTTTCTCTTCTTTCATCTCAGCCATGTGAAAAATACTTAGTACATGTCCCCAGAGATACTTTATGCACATTAAAAAAAAAGATATAAATAGGCTTTTTTTTAAATAAAGAGTTATGCTAGTGTTGATGTGACAGATAAATACGAAGATGAATTTACAGGCATAAAGGCCAATTTGGAGTCTACTGAAAAGTACAAGTGTTACTATGATCTGAAGAATTGTCAGTGGTGATGAAGAAGATAATCAAGAATTCCATGGAAATGTGGCATTTGGAGAGACTTCATGGTCTAGATGGATTGATGAAAGCTGTACGATCAATCAAAAGAAAAGAAAAAATACATAGTAGACAGTATATTTGCTTACAGGATTTTTGGAATGTCTGGAATAACTTTACTTGTTCTAGTCAGATGTAGCTGCTTTTGGGGACACTAAGAAGCAAATTCCAAACATTTGTAGTGATGTCCTCAATGTACATGCAGAGATGCTGTGCACCAAGTATCCTCGGCAGGAATACAACCAAGTAGCCCAGACACCTACAGGCAGAAGCTCCTGTTTCTCTCAGGTGCTAGAGGGAAGTTAGGCTTTGCTAAGACCAGGGTCATAGCAAGTATCTAAGATATAATTGTTCAGTAGATTAAAAAGATAACTTCTGCTATAGTTTGTAATCATACAAGAGAAAAAAGAAATTATGGTAATGATCAAGGAGAATAGGGAGATGGCATTTAAACTTTTAAGTTAATTTTCCTGTAACGTTTCTAAAGCTGCTGGTGTTTTCATCAGGTTTTCCATGAAACCAGAATTATATCAGAAGAGAGTGTTTCATTTTAATTGCTTGTTTGGAGGTCCCTGGAGCATAAGGCAACCCATTTTTTTTTCTAGGTCATGATGCCACTGGGAGTGACAATAGAAATAAATGTCTCAGCGTCTCCCCCAAGTAAGATCTCCAGAGGCAGAGGAGGCTGCCTTTCCACTGCAGGCTTGTTTGCAGGTCTGAGAAAAGAGACAATCTTTTCCATGGAGGGTATGTAGAATCTGCCGTAGGTGTGGAGGGTATGTAGAATCTGCCGTAGGTGTGTGGTTTCTTCATGGTAAAAGTAATTCGGGGGAAATTTCAAATCACTGCAGACATTGTGTATCTGGACATGTGGGGAAGTGCACACTCTCTATACTTGGTATAGAGCTTTGTTTAGAGGGCATGGCTTAGCTGATTTTTTTGATATCATTGTCCTCAACAACTTTTTCCTGGGATCTGGAGAATAGAAGGGTCTCAGGAATATATATCTCTTTGCTTCTGTAAATTTTGAGAAGTGTAGAAGGGAGACAAGTATTTAAATATAAATGAGTTAAAAATAATGAAATAAACCTTCTGGAGAAATAGCATAAAGATGACCCTTTCTGGGTAACATCGTAGAGCATAGGGGAAAAGTGCTGGTTGATGAGGGAAAGAAGAAAAAAAGAGAGAAAGAGAGAAGATATTAGAAGGAAAAAGAATTTAGATACCACAACGCCTGGATTCAAAATAATACACATTGTTTAACCCAGGTTATAGTGAACTATGATATAAATTGTACACCAGTCTTAAGTTCAGAAAGAAGAAACATTAAAATCTATCAGAATCAAGGGCAGGAGGTAGTCATTCTCAACTACAGAAAATTCTGCATTTTCTTTTTTTTTTTTTTTTGACCTTTTTTTTTATTAAATCATAAATGCATAGAGCATGTATGCATTAATGCATTTATGGGATACAATGTGCTGATTTCATATAGAATTAGGAACATTTACATCACACTGGTTAATACATACCTCATCTCGTTTACTTAATTATTATGTTAAGACATTTATACTCTGATTTCTCTCCACAAGGAACATTTGACCACATCTGGAGCCATTTTTGGTTTTCACATCTGGGCTGGGGGCAGTGAGACTCCATCTAGTGCACAGAAGCAGAGATGCTGCTCATGAGGGTACACTTCACAGGGCAGCCTCCCACAACAGCAAATAATCCAGAATGAAAATGTCAACAGCGCTGTAGTTTAGAGACCCTAAAGTGGGGCTATAAGAATGAGCTGACCATAGTCAGGATTTACTGGAAAGGATTGTCTTCTCATTAGTGTTTAAATCTCTGGACATCCGAACATATAGTGCCATGGAGTATTCTCTGCATTGCATGGGACCCCCAATCATAAATGCTGGGACATTTATCACTCATTTCTTGGATTTAAGAATCAGAGATGACCTTTACCAGAAATGATAGTTTGTGTAAGAGATCTTCATGATGCAGGGATATAATTGAGGGGATTCTTGGTATGAGTGACTTATAGTAGTAAAACAAGGAAAGTTCCAGATGACCAGATATTTTGGCTGCTCTAAGATGCTGAGTCATCCCGGATATAGCATTGCCAGATTTAGCAAACAAAAATACAGGATGCCAAATTAGATTTCAACCTCAGGTAAACAAATAATATTTCTAATGTGATTATGCCTCGTGGAATATTTCAGACATGCTTACAGGAAACAATTTGTTATCTATCTAAGATTCAAATTTAACTAAGGCCATTCAGTTTATCCAACAACACTACCAGAGCACAGATTTGAGATGTCCCACCATTTTGTGTATTAAAAAAGGTTTTCTCATGCATGGCTTCAGAGTGTGGTGACATCTTTAGATTCTCATCCATATTCTTGGCAGGTAATATGGGGACACGATGAGTATTTCTAGGTGACTTGAAGTGAGAGGAAAGAAAAAGATAATGCTCTTGTCAGTGTTTATGGATTTTTAACAATACTTCTTCCTAAATGGTGTCATTTCTTTAACTTTGATTCTCTATGTTGCATCTTAACACAGATATTCAGAACATCTTTTAGGCCCTCAGCACTTCCACTGAACTATTTAATAATTTCCATAGTTTAAAGATTATCTTAAAGGTGGCCGAAAGAATTAGCAAAGTGGAATATGAAAATGTAATCTTTGCAAAATAAAATATTAGGGTCTCTGCGTGTAATGAAGTTCAGAGATGGATACACAGGAATGGATATACAGTTAAGAGTCAAGAAAACTGGGTTCGTTAATCATCTAATAGGTATATGTCATTGGGCAAGTCATGGATCTTCTTCCAACTTCTACTTTCTCATCCTTAGAATAAAGCTGTTCAGTAGATAGTTCTTTGTTGAATAAAATGGAGAAATTATTGAATTTTAGTCAAAAAGAAAGCTAGTGACTAAGATGCTAAACTAATAGTCAACCAAGAACATGAGGGTAATTATTGGTCCTTCTTTCTCTGTACCAAGCTATGTGCAATAATACTACATGGAAAATATTGATAGCAATAATTCTAGAAGCAATTCATATGTTTCCACTTTTCATTAGTAATTGTAGCACCAAAATAACAAATTATCTCATTTTTCCAAATAACAAATTATCTCATTTTTCCTGGACTTCTCTCCTTTGTAGAATTCCTAAAGTTCAATGTTTTACATGAGGATTTAACTGCATGTTATCATCCAAGTTCTTGAGTTGATACTTATCAGACTGTTATGGTTTCAAAATTATATTAAGAACAGGACCAGAATTAATTTAACAATTTTAGAGAAAGTAACATTTATTAGTTAATCTAGTTTTTAAACTTTGGTTACGTCTGTCATGATACTTAACCATGATAGTAACAGAGAACTATTTGTCTCATCTTAGGTTCTGCAGAAGGGACAGTTAAGCATGATTTATGTGTCAATCACTTTTCCATATTTTATTTCCAATATTGATTTTCAGATTGTACCAAAGGGAAACATGTTTCTGACAGAGAGAAATAGAACTTCTGAGGCCACGTTCACCCTCTTGGGCTTCTCAGATTACCCGGAACTGTGGCTTCCCCTCTTCTTTATATTTCTGGCAATCTATACCTTCAGTGTGGTCGGGAATCTTGGGATGATTGTGACCATCAAAATTAACCCCAAACTGCACACCCCCATGTACTTTTTCCTCAGCCACCTCTCCTTTGTGGATTTCTGCTACTCCTCCATCATTGCTCCCAAGATGCTGGTGAACCTGATTATGGAAGACAGAACCATTTCATTCCCAGGGTGTATGGTGCAATTCTTTTTCTTTTGCACCTTTGTAGTGACTGAATTGATTCTGTTTGCCGTGATGGCCTATGATCGCTTTGTGGCCATTTGCAATCCTCTGCTCTACACCGTGGCCATGTCCCAGAAACTCTGTGCCTTGCTGGTGTTTGGATCATACGTGTGGGGAGTAGGGTGTTCCTTGACGCTCATGTGCTCTGCTTTAAAGTTATCTTTTCGGGGTTTTAACACGATCAACCACTTCTTCTGTGAGTTATCGTCCCTGATATCCCTGTCTTGCTCTGATTCTTCTCTCACCCAGTTGCTTCTTTTCACTGTTGCCACTTTTAATGAGATAATCACACTGCTCATCATTCTCACGTCTTATGTGTTCATCCTTGTCACCACCCTGAAGATGCATTCAGCCAGCGGGCACCGCAAAGTCTTCTCCACTTGTGCCTCCCACCTGACCGCCGTCACCATCTTCCACGGCACCATCCTCTTCCTCTACTGTGTGCCCAACTCCAAAAACTCCAGGCACACAGTCAAAGTGGCCTCCGTGTTTTACACAGTCGTGATCCCCATGCTGAATCCACTGATCTACAGTCTGAGAAATAAAGACGTCAAAGATACAGTCAGAAAAATAGTGAACACAAAATTGTTTTCGTATTGAATGTGTGCACTAGTATACATTCAATTTGGTTATGCTTTTTGAATGACAGTACATCCAGAGTTCTTTAAAACAGAACATGAAATTTTCAAAAATTAAATTTTATAATGGGATGATTTTAATTTTAGGTCATCTTGGATAAGGCTGACAGCCTGACCTTGATTTCAGTCTTTGTCTACAAAGTGATATAAAATGATTTATGTCATAAGGTATTATATGAAGTGTATTAAAAGGTAGACAACATATCTGACATAAGGTAAATGTACAGTATAGGCTAATTCTCTCATTTTTTCTATCTTTCTTGGTAAAGGATAGGCCATACGTGCTAATTTAACAACCAATCTTGTATTGAAACCTAAGTGAAATAAATAAATTTTAGGGAAAAAAAGACCCACCTTTTAGGACCTCAAAATCCAGTGGTATTAGTAAATTGTGGGGAGAGTACTTCAAATACATTTAGGGATATAAATTATATTATTTTATGATCACATGTTATTTTAATTTGGCCTAGAAGGATGGAAAGGTTGTTTTTTCTGTGTGTTTGTTTGTTTTGAGACAGTTTCACTATCTCGCTCTTGGTAGAGTGCCATGGTGTCACAGCTCACAGCAACCTCAAACTCCTGGGCTTAAGCAATTATCTTGCCTCAGCCTCCCAAGTATCTGGGACTACAGACACCTGCCACAATGCCTGGCTATTTTTTTTTTTTTTTTGTATTTGTCATTGTTGTTTCATTGGCTTGGGCCAGTTTTGAACCTGCTCCCCTCGGTGCATGTGGCCAGCACAGTAAGCACTGTGCTACAAGCACTGAGCCAGGATGGAAAGATTTTTAAGAGAAACAAAAAGCAAGACAAAAGTCTTATTCAGGAGTAAAGAACATGGACAATGTTCAGGTGAGGATTGTGTAAGGTTCAATAAGTATTTTTAAATAACGATTTTATATTATATGCTTGCAAGGTCTCTTGCTACAGGCTTGAAGAACTGCTTGATTAAATGTGATGTTGCTACTATTTTAAATTATTTCAGAAAAGAGTTCCAGTGTGGAGAGTGAAAGAAGGTATAAAAGATTTAGAAATATTAGATTGTTTCTTGGAATATTGAGAACATAAACTGAGATGATGTGTTTACTTTCAATGTTTATCATTTTCCATTGCCTACCGTGCAGAATAAATATTGATAGGGCAACTTGAACAAGTGTATATCACAGTTGGCTCATCTGGTCTCTTAAGGCAGTTTTCAAAAACAACTGTGTGTAGTTGTTATAAATATTGAAAGCTAATTGTTTTGTCTTGCTTTGAATGTTGTTTTAAATTAACTGTCATTTTAAAGTAAAATTTAAATAAAGAAATAAAGGTCAAGGTTATCATGAATCTTGAGAAGATCTGATATTTTTCAAATAGGTTTAATGTTTATTACAAGAAATCCTCATACACACAGGTATCTGATTTGGAAATGTTTTAAGACAATATTATCTTTTCTCTCATCTCTTTTATCATATATTTTACCCAAATTACTTATAAATACTCTTCATGTGTTTGATAGTCTTTGTGTTTTTGGATGAAATTCTAAATTAAGTCCAAAAACTATGAGAGAAGAAATTCTGGCTGTTTGCGGAGGGGAAATGGATACTTCAGAGCTTCAAAGGAAGATGATTCTTTTGTTACAGGCTAATACACCTATGACCTTACACTGAAGCCAGAGCTTATTTGCCATTCAGAAAACCCTAATGCCCATAAGAATTATACTGAATGGAGTCTACTCCACTGGAGTTCTAGAAATATAATAGCAAAGCATGGATGAGAACACACCACTGTACAGTATCATATATCAAACATTAAGTGTACTATTGAGCCCTGACTTCAAAAATATTTCTTTTCAAAGCATTACTGCCCATTGATGGTGTATTTGGTCACTTAAGGGCACTGACAAAGATATGTAAGGAGATAAATGCTGCTTTTTTGCCTTTGAACCCAACATCTATTCTGAAGCCTGTGCATCAAGGGGTAATTTGGACTTCAAGTCTTATGATTTCAGAAGTACATTTGGCAAGGCTATAGCTATCATGGGTAGTGATTCCTCTGATATATGGGTAAAGTAAATTAAAAATTTTCCAGAAGGATTCACCATTCTAAATGTTATTGAGAACATTTATGAATCATGGGAAGAGGTCCAAATATCTGCATTAACTGGAGTTTGAAAGAAGTTGATTCCAACCTTAATGGACAATTTGAGGGGTACAGACATCACAGGAGGAAGATGTAACTACAGATGTAAAAATTGCAGGGAACTAGAATTAGAAATAGATCTTGGAAAAATAACTGAATTGCTAAAATCTCATGATAAAATTTGAACAGATAAGAAGCTGCTTTTTATGCATGAGCCAAAATCATGTTTTATTTTTAAAGTGGAATCTACACCTTGTGCAGATGCTGTGACACAGTTGAAGTGATAACAATGGATTTAGGATATTACATAAACTTAGCTTATGTAATTGGGATTGAGATGCTTGACTCCAATTCATTTTTTTGAAAATTAAATGAACTTTATCCAAACATACAAAGAACTCTTAAATTCAACCAAAAAAGTAAACAACCCAATAAGAAAACAGCAAAAGATCTTAACATACACTGCCACAGAGAAGATATCTGGGTGACAGTCAGTCAGTGACATGAAGAGATACCAACCAGCATATTCCCTTAGAGAAATGTAAATCAAAACTGTGAGAAACCACTACACACCTGAGGGAATGCCTAAAACCCAAACGCTGACAACACAAGTGTTGGAAAGGATGTGGAGCAACTGGACCTCCATTCACAACGGACTCAAATTTTGAAAGAAGTTACTCTGGGGGCATAATGCCTTCAAATAGCATCACATGTTACAGGGAAATATTTTGTGGAAGGAGGAATTCATCAACACAGCAAAGTTCACTGTTACTGTGTGTGATAAATTCCCACACCCACCCCACCTTTCAGCAACCACCACCTTGATCAGGCAGCAGCGATCGACACTGAGGCAAGATACTGCAACAGCAAAGTGATTATAACTCTCTGAAAGCCCAGATGATCATTAGCATTTTTTAGCAATGAAGTGTTTTTGTTAGATGTGGTCTTGCTATGTTACCTGACTAGACTTGAACTCCTAGACTCAAATGATCCTCCTGCTATTTTGCCTTCTAAATAGCTAAGGCAAAAGGCACATGCCACTGGCTGGCTTGCTGTTTAAACATAATGCTATTTTACATTTAGTAGGTTACAAGATAGTGCAAGCATCACATATATGTACTAGCAAACCAAAGAAGGCGTGTGACTTACTTTACTGCAATATTCACTACCTTCATTGCATTGAAGACAATTGCAATGTCTCCGAGGTACCCTTCTATGATTATAGTGTTATGTGACTAATTACTGGCTGTAAGAATGGAGTTATATTCTGTTTTTCTGGCAAATAGGACGCTTCTTTGATTTTGAAATGTTTTAAACGAGTTCCAATTTTGCATATCATCTGTGAGGCTTTCAATTTCAACATGAAGTTTAGAGAAAAATATTCCACTTTTGTGCCTCCAACTAGAACAGGAGGAGGCGCAAAAGTGAAATATTTTCTTAAGTTTGTTGCTACCAATATTTTGAATCAGACAATTCTGTGCCATGAAGATCTGTCCTCAGCATTATGGGATGTTTTGCAGCATCCCTGTTCTCTAACCATTAGGTGCCAACATCCCCTCCCTGACACATTTGTGACAAACAAGAGTGTCTCCAAAAATTGCCAGATCTTCGCTAGGGAGCAAATTGATCCCAGTGAAGAGCCACTGAACTCAAATTTATCAAAATATTAGAGCTCTAGCGTCCTCAGGAGAACCTTAAGTATTGAAAGTCTTGTGTTTAAGACGCCTTATCAGCTCTCCAGCTGCTCCTCTTTTAACCAGTCACCTATCTGAAGATGATTGTAGACCTTTAGGGACACACGGTTACTCTCCCTGTAGTGTGGATAATTGTCAATCTCCATAACCTATTAACATATATACAGGAGTCATACTTTTCCTATGTAAAGACTGATTTTCATTGCTTGTCTGTTTTATATTCAGCTTTACACACTAAAAAATAAGCATCAGCTTTCTCTTCTATCCCAATGTTACTTTACAGATAACTCTCCCAGTTACCCGTGGAAATAAAGCACATGGAGCACTTCTCAGATACCTGTGTGTCTGGAAAACAACAACATAAAGTTTCTTTTGCATTTTCCTAATCAGATATACATACACACTTTATACACATATATGTATTCTAATCAATCAATTATTAACTATGAAGGTCAATATGTATGGATCAGTATGTATTTTTCATTCTGTTACTAATACCATCTTAGTTTTCCACAGGGACTCGACTTCTGCTATATTTGGTGGGTCTCTGTCTTTGCACCCAATACAATTTGGGAAAACAGTCATGTCCAGTCATTGACTCAGTGAGGAAGACACTGAGCCAGCAACTCAGCTGTAAAATTTTGCTGGAATTATGGGAAAACTAGAGCTTTGTTTGCCGAGGCTAATCCTGTGGGCACATGGAATTTGCTCATAACTTTTCACTTTTCTCTTGGCCATGAACAAAAAGGCCTACCTGAGACTTTAGTCATCAAAGAGGAAAGCACAGCAGAGAGCTAGAGAAAGGAAGATAACTGATGGCAAAGTTTTGGAAGAAGGAGATTCTCTCTTGGTTGATTGAAGTCCAAGATTTTTAAGTTAGAACAGCAATAAATTATTACATTTGTTTAAGCCAGTTAAAAAGTTATTCTGTCATATCCAAACAAAAGTTGATTTAAACAACTCTTTGCAAGTATCATCTTTATTAACTATGTAATATTATAGTACCTTGAAGTAGAATGAATTCAAGACAATTGAAATTACACACACACACACGCATATATCTCTCTCTATATATATATAGATATATGCATATGTGTGTGCACTCGTGTGTGTATATATTTGTATATGCAAAAAAAAATACACACT